CCCTTCAGAGACCACTTAATCTAGCAGTCACCAAATTCATTTTTTTCAGCAAGTTGTCTCAATGAGTCTTCCAGAGATTCTTCAGTAGAAATTAATGGTGTTTCTGCAGTGAAAGAAGTTTTAAGAAGTAATAGAATATCTTTTGACATTCTGAGTAGAAGAAATTCAAATGAACAAGAAAATCATATTCTTGACAAAGGTGGGAGTTTTACAACTGCCAAAACATCTCCATCTGAACCAGAGTTGCCAACCAGAAAGCGTGTGTTTTCTTTCCTGATTGGATCTGAGACATCTGAGAACAGAACCCCTGCTTCCTTCCCAAGAGCCAGATCTCAAGCAGAAGGGTTATTCACAATTCCTTCCTTTTTTTCTACTACCAGCTCAAGAAGCAAGAAGGATGTTTCTCATAATAGTTCTATTTTTAGTTTCTTCAGCTTGTCCTTGAATGAAAGGCAGCAGACTTATGGGGGAAAAACAAAGTCTTTCAACTGTTCCTCCAGTGACTTCCAGCCATATAAGAAGCCAAGTGATTTTATAGATATTGGTGCAATGACTAGAGAAAATTTCAATGGCAGTAATGAGAGCATAGCCCAGGAGGTTGTTCTTGCCCAGCAAATAGCTCCTAGTGTTTCCAGTAGCAACACCATTGAGATGTAGTCCCTCACAGATGAACTCAGCATAAAGAAGAATTATCAGAAAAAACAGAGTTCTGGTAATGGCCTAGGGACATCTTTAGCAGATTTTAAGAGGACTCAGTTGCAAAAAGACAGTGGTCCTCCTTTACTATTATTTCAGGCACTGACTGAAACACTCCTCAGTGGCCCTGAGACCTTTGGAGTATCTCCCCAAGAAGAAGAGGCTCACAACCAGGACACCTTTCCTAATAACTCATCTATTAAGTCTTGGTCACATGATAGTGATTTAATTGAAAAACTGAACAATTTAGACACTTGTATTAAGCATCACCAAAATGAAAAATTTACTAGTAGCCCATTGAACTTGCCTTTAGAAAAGACCCCTGATGAGGTATTACCATAGGTTCTAGAGCCAGCCTCTTCCTCTACTGAGCCAGGGTGTACCGGGCACCTCCAGAGTCAAGATGCCAATAAAAAAGAAGATAAATCAGTGTTAGGTTCTTCAGCAGAAATACTTTCAAGGTTTGTGAATAAAGTGAAATCTTTGTCCGGGTCCTTAATCAAATCACCTAAAACTTTTATCTGGACTTTTCTCTTCTAAACTGCCATAGAAAAAGTCTTTTTCTCCTCTTTCTTCTGGTACATCATCTCAACCTCTCATGGGTGAGTTATTTGGAATTTTCAAAAGTTTCAAACCAGAGATAAACAAGAATGGTGTATTCCACCTATATCTTGGCTTCAAGATGGTTGTTCCAGCGATGCTCTAGTATCAGTTCCTCCAGAAAGTTTGTGGAGAGAAGCTACCTCTGCAATGCTCAGTTCAGAATCTACTTTCAGTGACTCTAGAGTGACTATAGTTAGAGCAAAATCAGACTTGGATACCTTGACAGATGATCCTAAACTAACAACTCGAAAGGAAAGCAATAATATTCTTGAAACTCTCCCTGAAAACATTCCAGAATCCCAAGATTCTGGAACAATTGGTGCTGTATCATCTGTCTCTGGGGATGATACTGTGCAAAGAGTATTGTCTCTGAGTGATGAAGGAGACATGGGGCAATTGCAGGGTACAGACACAGAAGCATCATTGGAATCAGAGCTAATACAGTTGCACCCAGAGCCTATTTGTATTGCCAAAGAGCATCCACCCCCAATTCAGGCTTTTATTCATTTTGAGCCAGAGCCAGTTATACAATCTGTCTCCACAAATCAAGACATCTTGGATCTGTATGCAGCCAATTTATCAGAAACCAATACAACACTGTTTGAGACAGTTGTCAGCCACAGCACCATACTGGAAACTCAAGGGTGAGTTTCTCACCCTTTAATGGAGGACCATGTATTTTGTGCCAGAAAAAGTTCTGGGATACTTAATGTCCAGAAAGATTCATCTATAATCCCCCAGGAAAGAGTACAGTCAAGACCTCTATTTGAAATCCCAAATGTGAACAGTTGGCCAAAGCTCCGTTTTCCATTCTCTGCTACTGACCATGGGAAACCACTGAGCTCTTTCTTTTCTTCACCTTCCCCTTCTGGCAGTAGAACAGCAGAGACTGGCTTAATGTCCAGTTTTAAGAAGTTGTCAACTCTATTTCAGGAAAGTAGTGAGAGAAATGGGAGTGTACTGGCAAATGATCTCAAACTAGGATTTGGAAAGTTAGATCTTTCGTTTTTGTGGCCAAAAGAGAACAAAGGGTGCCCTGAACAACTGCCTACAGCAATCTCCCCTCTAGTTTTGGTTATCAGCAATGGTCAAGCCCTTAACTCCAGTGAGGCTAATAAGACTTTGGAGCCTTCTCATATATATACAGGGCCAGTGTTGAGACAGCTAATGCTTACATTGAGCCCTTGGGAACCTCTGAGCACCTGAAGACCAGACCAAGTGTGTGTGCCCATGGACTTTCAGGGCCTGAAGAAATGGAAAATCAGCAGGAAGCCCCAGCATCTAGAGAACACTTGGGTACCACAGCCAGCAAACTCTCTGGCCCCACATATTCTTCAGAGAAACATGAGGAACAGTGTTGCTCTGTCTCTGAGCTACTTTACCAACCAGAAAAACAAGATGAGGAGGCAGTGCTTGGTAGCACTGATTCTGTTTCAGATGTTTACCAGCCATTTACTCTGAATGACTTCAAGGAGCCAAAGATCATCAAAAGGCCTGTTCTCAACTGAGGCATCATAAATAGTTAAGGAATTTACCATATATGATACAACTGAGTTTGTGGTAGACTAATCATAGCCTGCACTTTACCCTGCCTGTGTCTTTCCTAGCATCAGAGCTTCATGTTAATTAGGGGTTAGTAAGAAATGGTGTGTCTCCTTTTCTCTAGTGTCAAGGGTAATTTATTTATTGGAACAAGGAGCTTCCTGCTTAAAGGCAGAACTGGACTGTAAGATTTACTCACCCTGGTTTGCTCTACCTTGTATAATACACAAGATGTAGAAGGGAGAGTAGAAAGGCCGTGAGTAACTGAGTGGTATATATTAACTGTAACCACATGATAGATGCTTCCTTGGGCCTTAGTAATAGATGGGGACAGACCTTCTACCTGACTTTTCCAAGTCTTCTAAAGTACTTCCACCAGTGGCAATAAGAGTTTTAAGTAAAGTACAAAAGATGGTTTGGGATAATCTATATTGCATATCTACATGGATTTGCGTAGCTTCTTCCAGTGTATCACTCTCTGCCTGTATCACCTTTGAGATTAGAATTTGATTAGTGCTTTAGGTAAAGCCTTACATAAGGAGCTTAGAGTTGTCCTTTGCTGTATTCCTTCAGTATGGAACACTGTTCAGGGACCATCTGCAAAGGGTACTATTATGTCCTCAAAGAAGTGTACTTTAAGAATGCTACACTTTGACCTCAGGTCCAAACCTGTCCAAAGGGGTCAATGATTTTAGAGATCTTGTGCATGAGTGTATGTATGTGTGAGAGAGAATATAAATTAATGTGTGTATGTATGTTGGTAACCATGACCTGGTACCTATTCTGCTACCATGGCATAGAGGATCAGATATTGGCCTGAAAATGCCAGATAAATAGGATGAAGCATGAGGGACATCTCACTGGAAAACAGCAATGAAATTTTCTTGATTTGGAAAAGGATAAACATAAGCCCTTGAGGATAAGGCAAGGAAATTCCTTATCCGTATGCATGAAGGCTTTCCAGCAGAATACCAGGAATGAAATGAGGGCCCCTGACTTGGGATTGAAATATCCAAATAGACTTGAGTATGTCTTTGCAGATCATTGCCAAGTCCCACTGTCTTAATAGGACTAAATCTTTCAGATAGGGCTGAGGAGTATACAACTCAAGGGAGTAACTTCTGGTGACTCTTTTTCTGTCTACTAGTCTCCCCTTCTTACCACCGTTCACTGCCCTTTGCTCTGCTACTACATTATCTCTGTGGAGCCCTGATGCCATAGTGGGTTACTCATTGTGCTGCTAACCACAAGGTTAGTAGTTCAAATCCACCAGCGACTCCATGGGAGAAAGATGAGGCTCTCTGTTCCCACAAAGATTTACAGCCTCGGAAAACCTATACAGGGTCGCTGTGAGTTGGGACTGATTTGACAGCATACAACCACCACCACCATCACTGCTGTCTTTCATAGTAGAGAAAAGGATTTCCTTTGTGAGCATGAAAATTCAAGTAGTTGAGATAGGTTTGGGTTGGCTTTCTTCAGTTACAGTGCAGAAGTACTAATACATAACTCATATCCCGAAGTTGAATTTGTCCTCTTTATCTTGAACTGAATGATGCCCTGAGAACAACTCAATTATAGATGTGCAAGTCCATCTTTGAAACACTCCTGGTGCTACCAGGCTATCACTCTAGTATTCACATAGGTGAGACCACCACCCTCTGGAATTTCTTGATCCTGGTCTCCATCTCCCAATGACTTCCATTATCTCATGCTGCAGATGACTGAGAGATAATGAAAAGACCATGTCTACTCTCTGGGGAGAATGGGAGTAGTGTTTATTCACTCCCTTTTACTATGTGGAAATTAGAAAATTTTAATCATAGCTACTGCACAAGTTCCTCTAGAAAACCTGAAGTAGACAGGTGGTTTTAATACTTATTGATCCTGCTCACATGAAGATAAAATATTCTTCAAAGTGAAGTGAGACTGAGATTAAATGCTATTGGAAAACCCAGCATGTTGTGTTTTTTCCTGTTGTGGTTCTGCTGACTAGAGACTAGTTATGCTAGATTGTGACATTTGCTCCTCTTCCCAAGCACCTACTATTTGTGAGCCTTGATCCTTGCCACGGATATATTTTTTTAACTTTATTCATACCTTTGCCTTAATACCAGGTTTGCATTTACTTATTTATCTGTCTTCTTTCATTCTCACAGCCCCACCAGTAGTAGTAGGTATGGCTCTTCCTGTAATGTGAGTCAAGGAAGCTCTCAGCTGAGTGAACTAGACCAGTATCATGAACAAGATGATGACCATCGGGAGAGGGACTCAATTCATTCCTGCCACAGCTCTGGAAGCTTCTCTAGAGATGGCCAAGCAGGTTTTGGAGAACAAGAGAAAGTCTTGCAGGTGACAGATGAAACAGAGAAGGGGAAAGCATGTGAACCCAAGGAGATTAAACAGGATGGTACAGCCCATTCTCTCCCACATCTGGTGCTACACAAAGAAGACATCTTAGGTCCCCAGGAGAGGTAAGTGATGGCTGCCTTGAGAAGCTCCCCAGACTTCCCTTTGGAAAGTATCTGCCCTGTGATGTTGCTGAGTATTAGTACTTTTCAGTGGTTTCCTTACAGCTGAGTGGAATAAGACACTCAGCTCTGCACTGCTTGCAGTTGGTACCCATAAGGAAAAATTACAACTTGCGGTTCGAAACTATCAGCCGCTCCGCGGGAGAAAGATGAGGCTTTCTACTCCCGTAAAGATTTACACCCTCGGAAACCCTGTACAGGGTCGCTATGGGTCGGAACTGACTCGACGGCACTTAACAACAACAACATAATAAAGCTTATTACAGAGTTTCAGTGTTATTATTATTGAGCTAAATTGATCAGTTGAATATCCGACAAGTTGGGATGCAGTAGGGTTTCTCAACTTTGGCCCTATTGACATTTGGGCCAGATAATTTTTTTTTTGTGGGGAGCAAAATATCACTGTAGGATTTTATTAGTATCGTTGACTTCTATCCACCAGATGTTAGCACCTCCTTTGTTGGTAACAATCAAATATGTCTTCAGACATTGTCAAATGTCTCCTGAGGGACAGAGTTGCCTCTAATTGGAGTACAGATTGGGATGACAGATTCTCAAATTTCAAGGCCTATGAATAAAGCCTCTCACTAAAAGACTAGAGCAGTTAATGCTGTTGCTTGCTTGCTATATTATGATTGGTGCTTCTACTCACCCCTAGATTAATTGCTGGACCACATACCTTTCTGGTGGTGTATATTTTTTTTCTCTTTTCTTTTCCTGATTTTTGGTCATTTCTCATGACTCATCTAATAGACAATATATTAGGAGTCTGAGCTCTAGGCCAGCCTTCCCACTGGGTTAGTGACCCACTGGAAGAGTGGCTCTTCACAGACCTTAGACTTGGTGGATACTCTTGTCAGTGGCAGAGGTTTTGGTAGAGCAGCAGAAATGCCCAATTAGAGTACTCTTTCTTCTCTTCTGGTTAGGTCTCTTCGGTTCTAGCTGTGTGAATAAGTACTGGTTCTACCTTAGCCAGAAGTGCCCACAAATGTTTTAGAATAACTGATGAAGTTAGATGCTATCAGATGCTAGCATTTATTTTACATGGTGTGGTGCTGTAGGATCAGTGCTGGACTGTGAACCACAAGGTCACCAGTTCAAATCTACCAGCTGTTCCTCGGAAACCTTCTATAAGGTTATGAGTTAGAATATACTCAGTGGCACTTAACAACAACAACTACAAATGGTAGACACTTATCTGCTGCCTTGGCTGTAGGCCTCCATGGGAGAAAGAATTAGCTACTGTTCTACAGTTAAGAACCTGGATGATGACTTATTTTGTCTCAAAGGTATTTTTTTCACTGAGGTTGTTGTTGAGACAGCTTAAGGTACAAATTCAGGGTAGGAAAAAGACAATATTTATTTTCTAGTACTTTTCATGTAGTCTAGGAATTGGTAAGTCTTGGTGAAACAGGGAAAGTTTGTAAGAGCAAATTCTGCCATAGGATGCTGTGCAGAACTCTCAAAGGAGGCTGGTAGTTTTGAGAGGTAGAGTAAGAGGGTTGAAAGGCTCACTTCATACCTCTTCATAGTTCCAGCAATTAGACATTGACCGAGAGCCCTTTCACTTGCTTATGTTGTCCTGGTCCCTGACTGTCCCAGTGAACTACCTCATTGGACAAATGAAGTCTGGCAGGCAGGGGAGGAAGAGAGGGAACAGATGAAAAGCTAAAGTGAGTTGTCATTTTAGAGTAGAATGTTCTCATTTTGAGAATTTACATTTAGCTCTTGGCATCAGTGCAAACCATTTTATTTTAGATATTTGGCCATCCTACCTTGAGCACTATCACCTTGTAGCCTTAGCTAGGTTCAGTGTCAGATTATCCAATAAGCAAGTTAAATGTGACTTAACTGTTCTTAATATTCTGTAGTGAACAATTTCACTTTATATATATATATATATATATACATACATACATACACAACATCAAGGATTCTGCTTCTAGATATGGTTGGCATATGCCTGTCTCCTAACCCATACCACCTTCCTATAGAATCAAAGCCTATTTTCAAATGTATAATTGAGGGGCCAAGTATCCAGTAAGCAATGTAAGCATGGGCTTACTTATTAATCTGTAATGGATAATTTGAAATAGTTGACTATGTGAAAAACTCAAGTGAAATTGTTCACTACAGATTAGTAAGTAAGCACAATTAATCTCATGCTTATCTTGCTTATTGGGTAATCTGCCCCTTGCTATTTTGTTTTTTAATGTTGTGAATCATGTAATAGGATGAAGTTTTACATTCATCCTATCGTAACCTTGCTATTGTTAAGGAACTTTTTTTCTTTATTACAAGTTTTCCTGAGGAGAATGCATCTTCACCATTTACCCAAGCTAGAGCACATTGGATCCGAGCAGTTACCAAGGTTCGACTCCAGCTACAAGAGGTAGGATAACCACAACATATAACCACAATGTTGTTGTTCTAACACTAATTGGGACAATTTTTCCTTTGAAATTGGGAGACATATGGTGTCAGAGAAGCAGGCAGTGATCAGTAATCTTGTTATTAGAACTTCTGGGAGTGATTTCAGCCCAGAACCTGAGAGATGGCAGACTGTTGGCTTTCGTTTATTCTTTGCTGATTATTGAAATTAAATAGACTAGTGGGTTAAGAACCTGAAGGGCAAGTGCGATGCTTATTTTCAGTACTGTTTTTACCTTGAGTTGCTATATAGAGGACTATTTTAAGACTTCTTAAGGTTAGTTGTTGTCTGACTTGTCTAGCCAGTTCAGGTACTATTGACTGACCTATTATTAGAGGCCAGAAACTGTTCAGAAGTTTCTCTGGACTTCCCTAATTTAATTCCCAAAGTATCAGCATATTGAGATCTGAAACACTGAGAAAATTTTAAAGCACAGATTAAGTATGTTTCGTTCTCATTATTATAAATATGAAGTGTCCTTATCTGTATGTCAGTAGGAATAGGCAGTCTTCAGGCAGGTAGTCATCATTTTAGTTGATAACAAGTGGTTCTCAGTAATACAATACCTGGCAGATATTAAAAACTGCAGGCATGCTCACATGTACAAACACACACTTTAAAAATAATTTATTTTGAAATGATTTCAAATTTAGGGAGAAGTTGTAAAACAGTAGCACCAAGAATTCCCATATACCACTCAACTGGAAGCTTCAGCTATTTCACTGCATTCACTTCATCATCCTCTCCTCAGTAAGATCAGTCTTTTCCTGAACCATATGAGAGAAGGTTGCAGACATAATGCATCCCTACATAATAGATGTAATCTATCATCTCTACATGCTTCTGTTGTATTTTCCCCAAATTAAAGGCTATTTTCCTATATAACCACAATTGCTGTTGTTGAGTGCCATCAAGTTGGTTCCAACTCATAGCAATCCTGTATAGGGTTTTTGAGAATCAGCTAGTGGGTTTGAACTGTCAGCCTTGCAGTTAGCAGTCCTGTGCTTAACCTACAGTGCCACATCAGGACACATATAACCACAATGTTGTTGTTTTTAAGTGCCATTGAGTTGCTTTCAACTCATAGCGACCCTGTGTAGAGTTTCCAAGGAGTGGCTGGCAGAACCACTGATCTGTGGTTAACAATCCAGTGCTTATCCTACAGCACCAGGACTCCTATAACCATAACATAACCATCCAAATTAGGAAACCAACAATGATGCAGCATTGTCATCCAGACCCCATGTAAATTTTGCCAACTCTTCCAACAACGTCTGTTTTTCCTTTCCTGTCCAGGATCTAGTCCAGGATGACACATTGCTTCTAGTTGTTAGGTCTCTTTAGTCTCTTCCAATCTGAAACAGATCCTCAGTCTTTTCCTGTCTTTCCTGTCTTTGACAGTTTTGAAGAGTTCAAGTTTTTCATTTTGTAACATGCTCTTTAATCTGGGTCATAAAATGTTTTCTCATTTCTAGTCTCAGGCCATCCATGCTTTCCTGATAGGAATTACACAGAAACAATGCTGTGCTCTTTTCAGTGCACTGCCGCCGAAAGTACATTCTGTCAACCCGTTCTACCCCTTATTATGTGGTCCCATCACTTATAACCTTAATCAGCTGTTCAAGTTTGTATCAGTCAGGTTTTTCTCCTTGTCATCAAGAACTGTTTTCTTTTTCTTGGAATTTTTTATTGTGAATTGAGTCAAGGTTTACAGAGTGGATCATCAGTTTCACATTAAACAAATCATATGCTTTGTTTCATCTCAGTGATTGCAGTCCCACTTCTTCCCTCTGGTTCTTATTGCCATTCCATACTCCTACTCAACCCGTCTCAACTTTGTTCATAGGTAAATGTTGCCCTATTTATCTTGAATGGTTGACCATTCCATGGTAAGCATACCTTACTAGTGTTGTTGCCCCCCTATATATACTTACATACCACCTTGCTGAAAATTGAGTTAAGACGGTGAGTTCTGTTCTAAACCTGAAAGGTGATCAAAGGCCATAGTCTTGTATTCCTCTAATTACTTTCTGACCAGTAAGCCTGGCCTTTTAAATACAATGTTGAGTTTTGTTCTACATTTCCCCCTACTTTATCTGGGACCTTCTAATGTGATCCCTTTCAGAGCAGTTGGTAGTGCTAGCTGGGTAACATCTAGTTTTTCTGGTCTCAGAGTTGTGGAGACTGATGTTCAGGTGTTCCATTAGTCCATTGGACTAATTGATTCCAAACATCTCAGTTTTCATTAATCTTCTTCCTTCCGCACATGGCGATACCAATAGTTGCACCTTAGATGGCTGCTTATGAGTTTTTACGGTCCCAGTCACTATCACCAAAGTAGGGTATTGAACATTATTGTGGACTATGTAATGCCACTTGACCATGATGTCTTCTATGACTATTGTCCTGAGCCCCCAGGTCCAGCAACTTGTTGCCTCAAGGCGTTTGGTAATGTTTAAGAAGTTTTCATCCTTTTGTCCTCTGTATGCTTCACCACATTCATAGATGTGTTTGCAGCAAAGGTAAATGCCTATGTACAAATATCCTTGAGAAGTATTTTTGTGGTGAGATATTCTGAGACTATGTCAATATTTTGTTCCTCATCAAATCTCAGCCCACTAGCTAAGCTTCCATTGATGGCTCCTGCTTGAATCTACCACCACTATAATAGTTGCCAAATGGTAACTTTTATTTCTATTATCATTTCTAAATTAATTAGTTGGAATTCTGCTATAAAGAAGAGATTTCCTTTCCCTTCATTAATTAATTTATATTAATATGGACTCAGGAATATCTTGTTTATTACATGAGTAGTAGTTCATTATTATCATTACTTATTTTGATGCTCAATTTGTTCAAGCTTCATATAAGCACTCTTTTTTTAGAAAAACATTTTTATTATAAATTGAATGAAGCTTTAAAGAGATCATCAGTTTTACATTTAAAAAATCATATATTTTGTTCAATCTTAATGACTGCGTTCCTTTACATGCAATAACAGATACCCCTTCCTTCCTGTGATTCCTGTTTACATTCTACTCTCCTTCTCATCTTTGTTCTTAGGTAAATGTTGCCCTTTTGATTTTGAGTGACTGACCATTCCATGGTGGGCATAACCTTACTATTGTTATTGTTCCTCGTACATACCTATCATTCCCCCACTATATACCTACTCTTGTGCCATACTTATTCAGTCTGTATGCTGAGCAAAGAATCTGGGAATCTGGGTTATATGAAGAAGAACATGGTATCAGGATTAGAGGAAGACTCATGAACAACCTGCACTATGTAGATGATACAACCTTGCTTCTGAAAGTGAAGAGGACTTAAAATACCGATGAAGATCAAATACCTCAGTCTTCCATATGGGTTGCACCTCAGTGTGAAGAAAACAGAAATCTCCTCACCACTGGACCAATGAATGACATCAAAATAAATGGAGAAAATATTAAAGATGTCAGAGACTACAGTTTGCTCAGATCAACCAGCAACACTCATGGAAGCAGCAGTCAAGAAATCAAACAACATATTGCATTAGGCAAATCTGTTGCATAACACCTCTTTTAAGTGTTCAAGAACAAAGATGTCAGTTTGAGGACTAAGGTGAGCCTGACCCAAGTCATGGTATGATCTTCAGTAGCTTCATGTGCATGTGGAAGTTGAACATTGTATAAGGAAGACTGTAGAAGAACTGATACATTTGAGTTATGGTGTTGGAAGAGAATATTAAAAGTACCATGGACTGCCAAAAGAACAAACAAATCTGTGTTAGAAGAAGTACAGCTAGAATACTCCTTACATGTCAGGAAGGTGAGACTTCATTTCTCATACTTTGACTATATTATCAGGAAGGATCGTTCCCTGGAGAAGAACATCATGCTTGGTAAAGTAGACGGTCAGTGAAAAAGAGGAAGACCTCTAATGAGATGGATTGGCACAGTGGCAGCAGCAGCAATGATCTCCAAGGTAGCAATGATTGTGAAGTTGGCAGTGGACTGGGCAATGTTTCATTCTATTGTGCATAAAATCACTATAAGTCAGTACCGACTCAATAGCACCTAACATCAACAACAATATGCCTATCTACTGCTTGGCTAAATATTGGGCTGTGAGGATGAATTCCATTGTAGACCTAAAGGGTGATCGAGGGCCATAGTCTCAGGTTCCTCCAGTCTCTTTCTGACCAGTATGCCATCATTTTTTTCTTTCTTTCTGTTTTTTTTAGTTAAAATTTTGAGTTTTGTTCTACATTTTCTCCCACTCTTTCCGGGACCTTCTAATGTGATTCATTTCAGAGCAGTTGGTAGTTCTTCTAGTCTCAGGTCATGGAGATTGATGTTATGTGTTCCATTCGTCCACTGGACTAGTTGATTTCAAGCATCTTTAATAATTTTTATGACTCTTTTGCTTCTGCACATGGAGAGACCAGTAGTTACACCTTAGATGACTGCCCATGAGCTTTTAAGATCCTAGTAGCAATTTACCAAAGTAGAATGTAGAACACTGTCTTTGTGGACTGTGCATAGGGAGAAGGTAATGCTTTAATAATGTGTGAAAAGGTTGCTACATTTCAGAGGGAATTTGCTTTGGAGAAAGTATTTTGAACACAGATATTTGGAAATGTTTTAATTTGTGTTCCAGCATGTGTTTAAGTGAGTGTTCCTTTGTTAAAACAATAAATATGGTACTGCAGGTTAATATGCTGGATTGCAAGGTTGATTTGAACCACAAGGTGAGCAGTTCAAGCTCACCAGCTACTCCTTGGAAACCTGAACAGGGTTGTTATGAGTTGGAAACTACTTGAGGGCACTTAACAACAACATAATTGCATGCTTTTAAAATCTTGAAAAGTGACTATTAATAACATTGAAAAAATTTCAGGTGAAAATTTTGAATGAGGTTTGACTGCTTTTTTAAAAATGTAAAAATATTCTAATTTGCAAAAACTTTTAACTCACATC